GATCTGGGAAAATGGTGATCCATCTGAAGCATTAATGAAATTAATGAGTCTATACATGAAGGATTAATGAAAAGGAGCCACATCCCTCACATCCCCTAACATTGGCTTGAGGGGTTGAGGGGTACTCAAAATTTCAAAAGTGGTACTCAATTTTCAACACACAAAGGGCTGGAATAAGTGATCCCTTAGGACCAGTACTTGCCCTCCTTCAAGTGCTACCTACCTTCTAACTGTTTGTGAGTCCTTGCCAGCCCTAAAGAGTCTCCCTTCTAACTGTTGGTGGGTCCTTGCCCTCCCTCAAATGTACCCTTAGTCCTTGCCCTCCCTAAAGTGTACCCTTCTAATTGTTGGTGAGTCTTCACTGTTGGTGAGTCCTTGCCCTTACTGTTAGTGAGTTCTTACCCTCCTTCAAGTGCACTCCTTGTAACTGTTGGTGAGTCTTGCACTCCCTCAAGACCACCCAGGTTCTTACTGTTGAGTCTGTGCCCTCCCTCAAGTGTCCTCCTAAGTTTTGGTGAGTCCTTGCCCTCCATCCAGTGGACCCCTTCTAACTCTTGCTGAGTCCTTTCCATCCTCAAGTGTTTGTCGTCAACTATTGTTAGTCCTTGCCCTCAATGTTGGTGGGTTTTTGCCCTCCCTCAAGTGCACTTCTTGTAACTGTTGGTGAGTCCTTGCCCTCCCTCAAGTAGACCCCTTCTAACTGTTGGTAAGTCCTTGCCTTCCCTCAAGTGGACCCTTTCAACTATTGCTGGTTCCATGCCCTCCCTCAAGTGTTTCTGTTGGTGATCATGTGTTTCGCTTCTAACTGTTAGTGAGTCCTTGTGGGAAAAAAAGAAATGAAGAATGTAATAGGAAATTATTGGATACACAGAACAATGTACCTCCATCATAGAACACTCAATTATATGCTGTTTGTTGTCTCTTGAATGGAATGTTGATTCTGTGATAACATGACCCTGACACTTGTCTGATATGTTTGCCCATATACATGAGAGACAAACAAAAGAAGAGGTCCTATAATGAATCTGATTGTGCCAAAAGATTCTGGGAAATGAAAAATGAATATAAAGCCTGTTGGGAATAATAATGACCTGAATAATTTTGTTTGATGCCAGTAGTGGGAGATTGTGTTTTTGTAGTTCTAATCGACTTTCTCCAGAACTACGAATATTTTGGGTTTCTTTCTTCTAATTCGGGGGTAAAAAAATCCTAAAACTTGTATAGTTACAACTTCAAAAATAAGTGCAACAGGTTGACTAATCTGATGTAAATGTCAGTGCACCACGAGTGGTTTAACTGGATAACAGCTGTTGTATAGCAACTTTTCTTTAAATTATAATTTGTATTTGCTTTTCATTTTCCATTGTCTGTTATATAAGGTACAACAAATAAGCAAATAGAGTAACAAAAATATTTGTTGAGTTCAGGTTTAAAAATCACGACTTTCCAGTTATTATCATTGTGTGACGATTTGCCAGTTATTATTATTGTCTGAGGATGTCAGCTGAAAACCCCCATGCCATGCCTTATTTCAGGCATGTGTGGCTGATAAGTTTCTAAGAACAGTTATGGTTAAATACAGTGTTTTGCATTTAATTTACCCATTGCTACCATGAACACATTTGGGTGCACATTTACGTAAGAAATATCCCTTGCTTTAGCAATGTAACCTTTCATTTTTGCCATTTAATGTATTATTTGGTGACCATCAAAGGTTCTGTTTCACTACCTAAAGTTATATCAGAAATCTAACCTAGACATTTCAAATTGAGAGGAAGGAAACTTTACTTATTGATCATGTACATTAAATTTGAGTCTGTTCAAATCTATCATTTATTTGTTAATCTTCACATTTTGAAGCCCTAAGTAGGATTTTAAATCTTTTGATTTATCGTTATATTCCATTTGTCTTATATTATCTGTCTGACTGTAACAGTTTTGTTTGAATCTCGTACATTTAAGGTGTCTTAGCTTCAGACATATTCAGTCTTTAAGTACTATAAGAAATGTTTTAAATGTCAAGTTCTAAAAGGTTGTAAGATTGCCAGTTGTCTCTTGTAGGCAGAATGTAGGCTTTAGGTCACTAAGTCAATTCTTAGTTTACAAATCACTTTGAAACAATGAAGAATTATTCTACTTTTTGCTTATGTAGAGTATCATTTGGAAGTCTTGGGAGGGACTAATAGGTGTAACCTACTCCCATAGCTTAATCAAAGCACAAAAGGCGCTGAATTTGTTTGGGTCTCAGAATGTCAGAAAGGTGAACGGTTTGCAAGATTATAAACCAATTTGTTTTTGTGAAGTGCCAGCAAAATGCTGTTTCCAGGGTTATAACATGTATAACTGTAGTAAATTGGCTGTAAGGCTAATTCCAACACTGATATTCAATTCAATGTTTTTTTGGCTTAAACAATTTAAAAAAAAAAACAAAAACAAAACTTGAGTTGCATTAACTGGGATTTGAACCCCAGACCTCTCGCTTCCTAAACTAGCGTGTAACCCCTGGACCACTGGGAAGTTATAAGAAAACAGCCTGAAGCAAACCACATTATTCTAAATTAGGGTTTGTAATTCTTATTAATTTCAAATTAAATTGAAATTGATTATTGATCATCAACTGCCTAAAGTCGTGCCTATCCTAGAGTCAATATCGTTACTTTATTTTTCAGAAAGTCTAAATAACAAATGTTCATTTAGGCGATCACAATAATACGAAGCTTTACTGAAATAGTCAAGCAATTTTCATATATTAAAATGATATTCATCTGCGTAACAAAATTATTTGAATCTATTGCCTGTAATTTGCAGAAATGTTAAAGAATTACACAATATTAGAAATCTTTGACCAATCGGAAACTATTTTTTCTTCCCTGAGAAGGTTTGAAAATTAATGTGTCTGTCATTTGACAGCATGGGGACCAAAGGTGGAACCTTTGCAGACAAGTTTTTTGGACTTTTCTCCACTTTAATGAATTTTGAACCGTATGCCAACACATTTTTGGACTTCTCCCCTTTGAAGAACTAACCTTTGCAGACACATTTTTTCGACTTCTGCACTTTAATGGTTTAAAAAACAGCTGTAATGAGGAAACAAATTGTCGCATTTCATCCATTTGGACTGATAATCTAAAATAAAAGTACATCCTGAACATTTCTGATATTTTTAAACTATAGGAGTAGACTAGGTAATGTCTTCTATATGTGTTGAGATTATTGTAATTCTAGAAGTAATTCCAGGTTTTATAGCAATATCAGTTGTCCTCGCTTCTGACCACATTATAAAATTCTCTGGTCTGTAACATATAGACAGACTTGTCAATTAGGGAGAGGCTGTCACTGTCAAGGGTATACTATAGATTTGTTTTTTGGTTTGACACAAAGATTAATTTCGTATTTAATAGCAGCCATTTCCAAGGAGACTTATAGTTATTAGATTTTTTTTCCGCACAGGATGAAGGAATAAAGTATACCAATAAAACTGCTGTTATTTATGATGGTATACAGTATAGGGTTTTTTTCCCAGGATTTGGGAACATGACCCATACCCATGGAATTGGGGATTTCAGTGATGTTTTAAAAATGCATGACTGAAAATTTGCAGGGATTAAATGGATGCACACAATCACTGTCTCTAAGGATGGCATCTTCAAACTTTTAAGCACTATAAACAGTGAAGAAGCCCTTATTTTCAAAGATTTTTGAGTTTTTTATTAGTTCACCTGTCACAAAGTGACATGGTGAGCTTTTGTGATCGCTTTTCATCCATCGTCCATCTGTTCATCATCTGTCCCTCCATAAACTTTTACTTCAAACGACATCTCCTCATAAACACTTAGACAATTTCATTCAAATTTCACAGGAATGTAACCCTTTGGTAGTCAACTTTAAAAATTGTTCCCAAGCAGAACTCTGGTTGCCATGGCAACCGAAAGAGGTTCAAATAAGGGCTCTTGGGTAAAAATTGGTCCTGCCCCAGGGGGTCATTGATTTTCCTTATATGTGCATAGTAAAAATTTAAAACATCTTCTTGTAAAAAACCCAAAGAGCTACAGTTTAGATGATAACTTAGCATGAAATATCATCTAGTGAGTCTTTGCCAAGTTTGTTCAGATAAAAGCCCTGGGGTCAAATATTTAAGATTTATATATTAATAACTTTCTACAGAAATAAACTAGAATAAAAATTTGCAAAAGTAATCCCTTTAACTTAACCTTAAAGTGACAATTGTCACAAGTTACAGATAAAACCATTGATTCAGATCATTCTAAGATGTAATAGATATATCAATATAATGTTTTTATAATGTAAACAATACAGATATTAATATATATGAAAGAATGCCTAGGTCAGTTAAATATTGGCATTTATGGTTATAGTAGTAGCTTTATACAATAATGAATATTGATTGGTTGTTCCATTATGTAATGTATAATATACTAATACAGCGTCTTGTATCAATTTTTATAATTTAGGTTAATATTACATGTATAAAGAGGTATGAATAAAGCGGCCAATAGTGAAAGAATTAATCAGCTATTTTATAATACTCGCTCACATTTAAACAGTGGTGATAAGAACATTGTTTGTTGAAGAAAGAATCTGTGTAAAGAATTGAAAATTTCAATTTTTTTATGGATGTTTAAGGTGCAATTAAATTTTAGTCACTTTTGAGTTCTCATTTTGCATAATGAGGATATTTGTTTTGTGTGTTACAATATTGTCACTGACAGCTTATGAAGGAATAAAGGATAAGCAATCTTTAGGAAGATAAAATAAAAAAATTATATAATAATCTTCTGTTACTGTATTGCACTTTCTTTTGACATCAACATTATAAGAACAATGTAAAGTTGCTCTGCTGTGCAGTCTAAGTAGAGGGTCAGTATGAGCACTGGTCATTGTATGACAAAAGAAGCAGACGTTTAGCATAGTTTGGAAAATATTAGTACATTGTATATACATTGTAAATGTATTCATGACATTCTAATCTATGTTTTCAGGTTGATCTAGAATGACAGGAAGATTAAGGTTGCTAGGAAACACATCTTTAGTTGGATAAGTTACGTAACAGTGAAAGCGATGGCCACACCAGCAAGACCAGATTATATTGACCTGCCGTGTAAAAATAAGGTCGTTTTTTCTCCTCTGTCGGAGTTGGACATGACGTCCACACCTGGAGGTCAGAGTCTAGGTCAAAGGTCATTAGGTGTAGAGAGTTCAACAAGTGGATATTCAGTTAGTAGTGCCTCAAAGTTGTTAAAAGGTGGTACAGAACGCGATATTATCATAGACAACCAGTTATGCCAGATTCCATTGTCTGCGGATGATCGACAGTGTGGAATAGGGAAATTCCGGCCACAGTGTATTCAGTATTGCGCAAATATAAAATTATTTGTGATTTTTATGTGCATTTTAATAACAATGTCAGGAACTCTGTCGACAGGGTATCTTAACAGTGTGATAACTACGATCGAAAAACGCTTTGAAATCGGAAGTTCGATATCAGGCTTAATTGCAGCGTCTTATGAATTTGGGAGTTTAGTTGCTGTTGTATTTATTTCTTACTTCGGAGGACGACGTCACATACCCCGCTGGATCGGGAAAGGTGTGATACTGATGGGTTTTGGTGCTCTTTTGTTCGCTCTACCACATATCATTGCTAAAAAATATACAGTTCATCAAGGAATTATATCAAATAGTACCGATGAAAACATTTGCAAGATTGTTGGATCAAAACGTTCTGATGAAAATTGTATTGACAAAAATGCTGGCAATCTTACATACGTTTTAATTCTAATAACAGCGCAGATATTGATAGGAACTGGTGGAACCCCGATATTCACCCTCGGCACTACATATATCGACAATCACGTCCCTAAAGACAAGGCACCAGCCTACCTAGGTAAGCTTTGACAATAGACTCGCACCGGAATTAAGAAAACTTTAAAAAGGTTTTTTCCAGCTTATATCCCTATCGCAAACAAACAAAACTTTTACAGTTACAGCTTCAAAAATTAGAGCAACAGGTTGGCAAATATGTTGTGACCAATACTGCACTGTGAAGTTATAATGGTAAAAGTTTGTTTGTACCGGGGGATTAGTTTGGAAAAACTGACATTTATCAAGTTCCAGATAACATCTATTATTATTGTAACCTTTGCAAAAAACATCTCAATAATGAAGACACCAAATTATCTGATAAATGTATACAAATCTATAAATTTTATGATAAAAATTCATTTAACAGATCATTAGTGATGAAAAATATCTATGTGTGAGATAAGTGTATAACTGCCAATCAGTAAGAAATAACTAGCATCTGTAAATCAATATATCAATTTTGCATGGATTTTGCCAGATTGCCTTTTCATACTTCAGGCGACATGCAGCAACTAAAACAGAGGCTGATTTTCAGTTTTAATTTAAATCAGTTCACTAAAATCATGCCTGAAATAATACACTGAGGGACACCTGAGGTCCTCTCTGCAGCAATAAAGCTGAATGTCGCCATTACACTTATAACCCAACCAAACGAAAAACCCTTAGGAGTGCCAATATTTCCCACAGACTTTGTAATGGCACTTTACAAATGTTGCTATACTTCAATAGTGTAATATATCAATTTGTTTAATGTACTTGTTTTATAGAAATGATTTTTTAAATTTCAAGTAACAAATTTCTCTGACAACACAGTTATGATCTTTACAAAATTTAATTTGTCAAACTTTTGAGGAAGAAAGTGGTTCACAGTCCCTCGGGTTGTTTTTCATAAAAATTATTATAAAGCAACTTGTTTGTTTAAATTGTTAAACATATCTTTTAATCAGAATTTGAATAATTTTCCTCGTTTGTGTTTAACAATGTGTACACTCCCCCTTTTAAGCACAACTATTGAAAGAATAGAGAGAGCTATATAATTTGTTCTCAACCAGGTGTCAACATCACATTTTCAATAAGTTTTTGCGTGCAAGTTGGTATCTTTAAAACTACTTAGGTCTACATCATCTTCTGTTAGGTTTTTGCTTGCAAGTTGGTATCTTTAAAACTACTTAGGTCTACATCACACTTCCGTTAGGTTTTTGCTTGCAAGTTGGTATCTTTAAAACTACTTAGGTCTACATCATCTTCTGTTAGGTTTTTGCTTGCAAGTTGGTATCTTTAAAACTACTTAGGTCTACATCACACTTCCGTTAAGTTTTTGCTTGCAAGTTGGTATCTTTAAAACTACTTAGGTCTACATCATCTTCCGTTAGGTTTTTGCTTGCAAGTTGGTATCTTTAAAACTACTTAGGTCTACATCACACTTCCGTTAGGTTTTTGTGTGCAAGTTGGTATCTTTAAAACTACTTAGGTCTACATCATCTTCCGTTAGGTTTTTGGTGCAAGTTGGTATCTTTAAAACTACTTAGGTCTACATCATCTTCCGTTAGGTTTTTGCTTGCAAGTTGGTATCTTTAAAACTACTTAGGTCTACATCATCTTCCGTTAGGTTTTTGCTTGCAAGTTGGTATCTTTAAAACTACTTAGGTCTTAATCACACTTCCGTTAAGTTTTTGCGTGCAAGTAGGTATCTTTAAAACTACTTAGGTCTACATCATCTTCCGTTAGGTTTTTGCGTGCAAGTTGGTATCTTTAAAACTACGTAGGTCTACATCATCTTCCGTTAAGTTTTTGCTTGCAAGTTGGTATCTTTAAAACTACTTAGGTCTACATCACACTTCCGTTAGGTTTTTACGTGCAAGTTGGTATCTTTAAAACTATTTAGGTCTACACCACACTTCCGTTAAGTTTTTACGTGCAAGTTGGTATCTTTAAAACTACTTAGGTCTACATCACACTTTCGTTAAGTCTTTGCGTGCAAGTTGGTATCTTCAAAACTACTCAAGGGAATGGGTTTAAACTTCACATACTAATTGAGGTCAATATTCAAGACCCATAACTATTTATTAAGATCCTTTATGAACTAAGAAAAATTCTACATTATCCAGACTTGTTTTACTATCAAGCACTGACAATAGTAAAGCACGCTGTCCAAAGTACCAACAGTTCTTGTTATTAGGAAAAATGTTCAATGGGGATTTTGTTTAGTTGATGACCTTGATGTTATCATTTTGTGAATGGAATAATTAAAATTGATGTTTCACAATAAATCACCAAGTGTATTAGATGATAAATTCCCCTAGCTGAATGGAGTATAATTGCTCTCATATTTCTATATCAAAGCACATAACCTTCTCAATTTGTGTAATGGATTTGCCCTCTTTTGAATTTTGAATAGTCCATTATCAGCTATGGGTTCATCAAGGTTAGCCCATGTTACAGTGTAGTGGTTTGTCACAGTGTTAGGTTGTTAGGAGTGGTCTGGCTGCAACAATTTTAAGTTCCAGCAGGGTAAGGGTAAAAAGGTCAACACTTATATTTTCAAACACAATTTTCAGTACAGTAATACTTTCAAGTCTTTCATTTCACACTTTTTTCAGAGCGTCTTAAAATTCACCATGTTTCCACTTCAATAACTTTTCACACTATTTTCAATTAAACTTTTCAAACTATTTTCAATTAAACTTTACACACTATTTTCAATTAATTCTCTTCAGATCTTGTTTCTAATGCAATCACCCTTTTGCTTACTCAGATTTCATAGTGTTTTTTAATGCAATCACTTATTAGAATTGCCAATTTCTCACTTTTTTTTTGCAGCCCTATATTTCATAATGTTTTCAATGCAATCACTTTTGCAGTCCCAGATTTCTTCCTGTTTTCACTACAATAACATTTTACAGTCTTAGATTTCACATTGCTTTCTATACAATATACAGTCTCAGATTTCATAATGTTTTCAATGTAATCACTTTTTGAAGTCTCAGATTTCATAGTGTTTTCAATGCAATCACTTTTTGAAGTCTCAGATTTCATAGTGTTTTCAATGCAATCACTTTTTGAAGTCTCAGATTTCATAGTGTTTTCAATGCAATCACTTTTTGAAGTCTCAGATTTCATAGTGTTTTCAATGCAATCACTTTTTGAAGTCTCAGATTTCATAGTGTTTTCAATGCAATCACTTTTTGAAGTCTCAGATTTCATAGTGTTTTCAATGCAATCACTTTTTGGAGTCTCAGATTTCATAGTGTTTTCAATGCAATCACTTTTTGAAGTCTCAGATTTCATAGTGTTTTCAATGCAATCACTTTTTGGATTCTCAGATTTCATAGTGTTTTCAATGCAATCACTTTTTGGAGTCTCAGATTTCATAGTGTTTTCAATGCAATCACTTTTGAAGTCTCAGATTTCATAGTGTTTTCAATGCAATCACTTTTTGAAGTCTAAGATTTCATAGTGTTTTCAATGCAATCACTTTTTGAAGTCTCAGATTTCATAGTGTTTTCAATGTAATCACTTTTTGAAGTCTCAGATTTCATAGTGTTTTCAAAGCAATCACTTTTTGGAGTCTCAGATTTCATAGTGTTTTCAATGCAATCACTTTTTGGAGTCTCAGATTTCATAGTGTTTTCAATGCAATCACTTTTTGGAGTCTCAGATTTCATAGTGTTTTCAATGCAATCACTTTTTGGAGTCTCAGATTTTATAGTGTTTTCAATGCAATCACTTTTTGGAGTCTCAGATTTTATAGTGTTTTCAATGCAATCACTTTTTGGAGTCTCAGATTTCATAGTGTTTTCAATGCAATCACTTTTTGGAGTCTCGGATTTTATAGTGTTTTCAATGCAATCACTTTTAGGAGTCTCAGATTTTATAGTGTTTTCAATGCAATCACTTTTTAGAATCTCAGATTTCATAGTGATTTCAATGCAGTCACTTTTTGGAGTCTCAGATTTCATAGTGATTTCAATGCAGTCACTTTTTACAGACTCAGGTTTCATAATGATTTCAGTGGAACTTATTTACAGTTTAAGATTTCAGAATGTTTTCAATGCAATCATTTTTTGCAGTTTAAGATTCCATAGTGATTTCAATGCAATAACTTTGGAGTCTCAGATTTCATAGTGTTTTCAATGCAATCACTTTTTGGAGTCTCAGATTTCATAGTGTTTTCAATGCAATCACTTTTTGGAGTCTCAGATTTCATAGTGTTTTCAATGTAATCACTTTTTGAAATCTCAGATTTCATAATGTTTTCAATGCAAACACTAATTGGAGTCTCAGATTTCATAGTGATTTCAATGCAATCACTTTTTACAGACTAAGATTTCATAATGTTTTCAATGCAAATTGCAGCAATTACTTTTTGGAATCGCAGATTTCATAATGTTTTCAATGCAATCACAATTTGGAAAGTCAGATTACAGAATGATTTCAATGCAATCACTTTTTACAGACTCGGATTAATTTTAATGCAATCACTTTTTACAGACTCAGATTAATGCAATCACTTTTTACAGTCTCAGATTACATAATGTTTTCAATGCTTTTTTTGTCCGGAGCATAACTTTAAGACTAATGGTTGGAATTCAATATAACTTCATACATTATGGTCAAGCACATTGAGAGGAAGTGCAGTGCATGAGAACCATAACTCCATCTTGACTAATGACAGTTATTGCCCTTTGTTACTTTTCCTTGTCTGGAGCATAACTTGAAAACTACCGGTTGGAATTCAGTAAAACTTCATGCAGTTGTCTAGCACATTAAGAGGAAATGCAGTGCACAATAATTATAACTCCATTTTGACAAATTACAGAGTTATTGCCCTTTGATACTTTTCCTTGTCCGGAACATAACTTAAAACATATTGGTTGGAATTTAAAACAACTTCATACAATTGTCAAGCACAAGAACTATAACTCTGTCCAGAGTAATTATAGAGTTATTGCCCTTTGTTACTTTTCCATTGCTTTTTTCTTGTCCAGAGCATAACTTGAAAACTACTAGTTGGAATTCAAAACTATTTCATACTATGGTCAAGTATATTGAGAGGAAGTGCAGTGCACACCAACCATAACTCTTTTTTGACTAATTTAAAAGTTTTTGCCCTTTGTTACTTCTTATTGTCCAGTGCATAACTTGAAAATTAATGGTTGGAATTCAATGAAACTTTATATAATGGTCAAGGGCAGTGAGATGAAGTGCATTGCACAAGAACAATAACTCTATTTGCACTAATTACAGTTATTGCCTTTGTTACTTTTTTTGTCCAGTGCATAACTTGAAAACTAGTAGTTGGAATTCAATACAACTTCATACAATGGTCAAGCGCAATGAGAGGAAGTGCAGTGTATAATAACCATAACTCAATCATCAGTATTCATAGAGTTATTGCCCTTTGTTCATTTTCCTTGTCTTTCTGGACTTATTACAGAGTAATCCAATAAAACTTCTTCAGTGGCCAACCACATTGAAAGGAAATGCAACATTGAAGAACCACAACAGTTACTATCTTTAATTGCCAACAACCATAACCCTATTTCAATTCTTTACAAGGTATTCTGTTACTAGTAACATCCTCATTTCCGAAGCAGTCTTGCAGGGGGGTATTAATCACATTTAGTGATAGTTCTAGTTTTATTGGATAACAAAATGAAATTTAAATATAAAGTTTGTCAGCCAACAGTATAGATCATGGTCTGATTACTTGGATCATTGCACTTTGCAAGGCACTTTACTTGTGGTGGCAAAAAGACTTATTACATTGGAGTATCTTATCGATTTATTCAGGGAAATAATTGATAAACACATACTATATTGTCACATATCAACATACATACAGTTTAAAACACACAAAAAAATCAAGAAAAATACAATTATAAAATTAAGTGGAATGTTTTATGTTACACTAGGATTTCCCATTAAGCTATTATATATTACTTAAAGCTTATTTTCAATCAGGGTCCTGTCCAATAAATGTTGAAATAATTTAATAGAATATCTGCTGAAAGAATACTTGGCAGGCAATAGGGGTGTAACAATACAGCAAAAACCGTATTGCAATATATTGCCATTTTGCTGAAGCGTATTGCATTATATTGCAATACGTATTGTCGTGTATATATGTTTTGATGTAAAGATGGAGTAACATTTATATATTATTATTATATGTATATATTTTTAGTAGAAACTTAATAAAAATGTAAGGAATAAATAGAAAGTAGTGTCACACAATTTGATAAACAAAACTAGTCGCGTGTAACCTTTCACATCTGGGCCGCTTATGTAAATTATGCGGCCGCTTATTGACTTTTAAGTGTACTAGTTGTCGGATACTTTTATCTTACGTTGGCGCCAACAAAATTTGCCAATTAAAGATTTTATGTGAAATTTGTACAAAATTAGAAGGCAATTAATTGAAAATTATGATTTTTATAAAATACCGGTTTTCCAAAAATCATACTGCGGTTCGAAATTCATTTTTTCATATTGCAATATATCGGTATACCGGTAAACCGTTACACCCTTAGCAGGCAATATCTTGTTTTGCACCTTTCTCAGCTAGCATGAGCTCTGTCCAGTGTGTATATTGTCTGTTGTTCATAGTTCCACCTTGATAATGATCTATGTGTATTATGCAAGAATTTTGACCTATTAACATAGTACATTATGCAAGTGTATTGACCTGCCACCTGTAATGGAGATGTACATTGCCAAGAACTTTCCCAGGGGAGACCACTGCAACTTCATTAACAGATTCATCAGATTTAATCATTTAAATGAGGGAATAATCAAGTGTTGTATAATCTGCTTTAGTCAGTAATATAAAATCACATTATCCTACTGATTTAAGTTGAACATACCTTTAATAATTTTAAGCATAATTTAACTGAAATTACACTTACAAACTCACATAAATTCAGTCGGCCATATTGGCCGAACATAAAAGAAAACTCTTTCTAATTATACCCTCGAAACGAAGTTTGGGGGGGTATATAGGAGTCACTCGGTGGTTGATCGGTTTGGTCAGTCCAGTCGTCCGTTGCATTTTCCTTGTATGGAGCATAACTTGAAGACTAATGGTTGGAATTCAATATAACTTCATACAATGGTCAAGCACATTGAGAGGAAGTGCAGTGCACAAGAACCATATCTCCATCTTTACTAATTACAGAGTTATTGCCCTTTGTTACTTTTCCTTGTCCGGAGCATAACTTGAAAACTACTGGTTGGTGTTACTTTTCCTTGTCCGGAGCATAACTTGAAAACTACTGGTTGGAATTCAAAACAACTTCATACAATGTTCAAGCACAATAAGGGGAAGTGCAGTGCACAAGAACCATAACTCTATCTAAAGTAATTACAGAGTTAATGCCCTTTGTTACTTTTCCATTGCTTTCTTTTGTCCGAACAATGACCTGAAGACTAATGCTTGGAATTCAGTATAACTTCATACAATGGTCAAGCACATTGAGAGGAAGTGCAGTGCACAATAACCATAACTCCATCTTGACTAATTACTGAGTTATTGCCCTTTGTTACTTTTCCATGTCTGGAGCATAACTTGAAAACTACTAGTTGGAATTCAAAACAACTTCATACAATGGTCAAGCACAATAAGGGTAAGTGCAGTGCACAAGAACCATAACTCTATTCAAAGTAATTACAGAGTTATTGCCCTTTGTTACTTATCCATTGCTTTCTTTTGTTCGAACAATAACTTGAAGACTAATGGTTGGAATTCAATATAACTTCATACAATGGTCAAGCACATTGAGAGGAAGTGCAGTGCACAAGAACCATAACTTTTTCTAAAGTAATTACAAAGTTATTGCCCTTTGTAACTGTTCCATTGCTTTTTTTTTTGTCCGGAGCATAACTTGAAAACTACTAGTTGGAATTCAAAACAACTTCATACAATGGTCAAGCACAATAAGGGTAAGTGCAGTGCATAAGAACCATAACTCTTTCTAAAGTAATTCCATCTTGATTTATTACAAAGTTATTGCCCTTTGTTACTTTTACTTGTCCGGAGCATAACTTGAAAACTACTAGTTGGAATTCAATACAACTTCATACAATCGTCAAGCACATTAAGAAGAAGTGCAGTGCGCAAGAACAATAACATCATTTGACAAATAACAGAGTTATTGCCCTTTGATCCTTTTCCTTGTCAGGTGCACAACTTAAAAACCAATGTTTAGAATTCAATGAATCTTCATTCAATGGTCAAGCGCAATGAGAGGAAATGCAGTGCTCAAGAAGCGTAACTCTTTTTGGACTTTTTACAAAGTAATTCAATAAAACTTCATCAATGGTCAACCACATTGAAAGGAAATGCAACATATAAGAACCACAACTATCTTTAATTTCCCACAACAACCATAGCTCTATTACTAGTAACTTCCTCATTTCCGAAGCAGTTTTGCGTGGGTATTAATCACATTTAGTGATAGTTCTAGTTTTGTCTAAAATTCCAACATTTTTACATTTATTCAATTTTCTTCTATTTAAAAAGAACAACAACACAATTTTGTGTTAAAGCGATGTATATTTCCTTGCAATTTATGTAATGATTGTTGTGGTAAACATATGAGTTTTAAAGGTAAACAATTGGAATTCTTGAAACAAAAAGTAAACATTCATTTCATATCTACACCCACACCTACTATAATTGTGATGTCCACTGTTGTTTATATCAGGCATCATTGATCTTTTTCTAAATGATAAACCCTTCCTGATATTTCAATATCAAGTTGCGTCTGGCACTGACTTCCACACTATTGAAATAATTCAAAGGCGTAAAGTGAAAATCTGTAGGTGAAACATCACCCAAGATAGATGTGACAAGTCATGATGTGACAAATTTGAAGTGACTTGTTTTAGATCTATTGTCACATTAAAGATGCCTCCAGCTGTTCTAAAGTTTAAATATGTTATTTTTAGATAAATTGTTTCATATAATTGTCAAAAAATCAAAAGAATTAGGGTGGTAAAAGAAATTGGCCAATGATAAATACATAAACAATAACAAAACAACCCCTTGATATCTCTAATCTACCAGTCAGCTCTCTATATTTAAATGACAATTCGTTTACCTATTTTTTATTGTTAGAAACTAACACACTGACAAATTTTATAAATAGCTCTCGGGACACTGTTTTGTAGAAGGTTGATTACTATGATATAATGCACTTTTCTAAGGTAAAAGTACTGAAATACTTAGTTTGAAACAGCACAGAATTGTTTTCCAGTGAAAAAATCAAAGCTGTAATTTGACATTAATTTAGGAGTAACCAGGTAAAGTATGGTAAGTTAGGACATGGACAGGGATGTGATGACAAGTTGGACATAGGCATGAGACTGGTTAGGATGTGTTTGTTAAAAAAAAAGATTTCAGGCAGACTGTGACTAGTTGTGCCCAGGCAGAATGTGACAATCAGCCCTGTTCTTGTAGAAAATGCCTAACTAGAAAATGATGTTAGAACTTGTGTTTTCATATCACAGTGCCTTCAGATTAACTGACCTTGCATTAGGAAAAGAACTCTACAATAGCTATTGTTTCTTGGCAAATGCCCAACTTGTTGCCAATAATATTATTGTATTATATTCTGAAATAAAAACATCTAATTAGTAACTAACTCTCTTATTCAGGATTAATTGCAGTTTGACCAACATCTTTATTGATGGCTTGTAATTTTAACATTTAGATTCTTTTACAATCAATGTACAGTTCCATATAAAAGATTATTATTTTATTTCAGTCTCATCAAAGTGAGTCTCATCATTAATTTCTTTGTTTTTATTTTCAGCATTCACTTATGCTACTGGAGCTTTAGGGCCTGTTGTTGGATACGCCCTTGGTGCGCTCTTGTTACAGTTCTATGTAGACGTATTTAGCTACAAAGTGGACCTTTCCCCGGCCCATCCCAGGTGGATCGGAGCCTGGTGGGGCGGGTTCATTATCTGTGGTGTGGTACTGTTCTGTATAGCCGTGCCGTTCCTGATGTTTCCACAAGTGCTAGTGGAGGAGAAGAGGAAAGTGCTCGAGAGCAAGGCTCGGGAAGACCTGCTGAGTCCGAGCACCGCGGAGGGCCAGACAAACAGTGAGGATTATGGGAAGGATGCTAAAGGTAGGTAGAGGGGTGAGATGTAATCTCACATATATTACCATGCATGCTACCATAAGTTTACAAATTAGTAACTACAGTTAAACTTCGTTCACTCGAACTCGGATCGCTCGAATACCTCCCTTCGCTCAAACTCATCGCCCAGTCCCGGCAAAACTCCTATATAATATATATTGTTCTACCTCGGATCGCTCGAACACCGATCGCTCTAACTCTCGAACCTGATCTCTGGTCCCTTCGGCAGATATATAGTGAAAATCACACCTTTTCTGTCGAACACAAAAATACAAGTCGACATGTCCTAAGTAAATGACAGTCGGCGACACATGTTTTTAACACCTCGTGATTATGACAAAGGAAATTAAGGTAAATTGATACAAAATAAGAGGTGTTGTAACCGATTTGTTTGTTACAATAATATTGTTTATTTGCCGTTTATGGTAACGATAAAAAGAAAATAACTTGTGAAATAAGTGAAATATGCAAAGTCAATAAAGAATGACGTTTATCCGGACGGCTTTAATTACAACCGTAGTTCATGTAACATGAATTGTAATAGTGTTGTGTATTTATAGAATGATACTTGTACCTGTGTTTATTTAAGTAAATGACTACAAATAAATGCTGCTGTAGAACTTTTTCTTAAATATTTCATTAATTTATTTTTTTTAAATTGTTCATCAAGTTTGGTCTGATTGCCCAATCGAACTCAACCAATTACAAGATGCATGAATATAGATTAACACAACATACCGTTAATACTTAATTGAAAACACTGGGATAATAATTCTGAATATGACATATTCGACGAACAAATGTACTAACAAACAATTATATTTACGTATTTATCATCCGACCAATGTATGCTATAAACCTTTAGACAAATGATCAAAGTAATAATAGTTCGACCTCAGTTGGCTCGAACTACCGATCTCTCGAACAAATTTGCACAGGCCCTCCGAGTTCGAGCAAACAAAGTTCAACTGTAATTAACCCATTACATGTTTTGAATAGATTATAAAGGGTTGTTATAGAATTTCTTCAAAAAAGACCTTCTTTTAAAGCATAGTACATGTACTATGATTTTGTAAAGTGTTAAGAAAAAGAAAACTCTTAAGATGCAATATCACTCCCAAACAATTTGACAATTATGTTTATTTTTAGCTCATCTATATAACATGTAAACTGGAAGCTACCTTGTTCAATTAAGAGTTGCTGTTGCCATGTGCTGTCAAGTTTAGAGTTTTAGCTTAAACATAATTATAGTTTTAAAATATTAGACCTTGCTAGACTTACAGAACTAGCTGCATGAACAAGATTTAATAGGGAAACAAATCAGGTTGTTTTAAAGAACAATCTTAAGATTTTGTCACATCCTTCTAAATTATATACTTTACAGACAAAATAGTGAGAGATTGGCATGTTTCTTGGATAGGCTTTGTCCTTGAGACCATGTTATTACTATTCATTATTTCTAAGCCCTACATACTATTTTCCCAGAAATCCTTGAAAATAAATATCTGTAAATTAATAGACATGATATATAGATCTAGTCTGGAATCTTCTATAGATTTTCAGATACTTTGGAAGAAGTTTGAGGGATAAAAGTTTAATTTAGTGTCAGGTCAATGTCACCAGTATAATGCCAGGTCTATGCCACCAGTATAATGCCAGGTCTATGTCACCAGTATAATGTCAGGTCTATGTCACCAGTATAGTGTCAGGTCTATGTCACTAGTATAGAGTCAGGCCTATGTTACCAGTATAATGTCAGGTCTATGTCACCAGTATAGTGTCAGGTCTATGTCACCAGTATAGTGTCAGGTCCATGTCACCAGTATAGTGTCAGGTCTATGTTACCAGTATAATGTCAGGTCTATGTCACCTGTATAGTGTCAGGTCTATGTAACCAGTATAATGTCAGGTCTGTGTCACCAGTATAGTGTCAGGTCTATGTCACCATTATAGTGTCAGGTCTATGATACCAGTATAGTGTCAGGTCTATGTCACCAGTAGTGTCAGGTCTATGTTACCAGTATAATGTCAGGTCTATTGTCACCAGTATAGTGTCAGGCCTATGTCACCAGTAAAGTGTCAGGTCTATGTCACCAGTATAGTGTCAGGTCTATGGCACCTGTATAGTGCCAGGTTTATGTCACCAGTATAGTGTCAGGTTCTATGGCACCTGTATAGTGCCAGGTCTATGCCACCAGTATAGTGTCAGGTCTATGTCACATGTATAGTGTCAGGTCTATTGTCATCAGTATAGTGTCAGGCCTATGTCACCAGTATAGTGTCAGGTCTATGTTACCAGTATAATGTCAGGTCTATGTCACCTGTATAGTGTCAGGTCTATGTAACCAGTATAATGTCAGGTCTGTGTCACCAGTATAGTGTCAGGTCTATGTCACCATTATAGTGTCAGGTCTATGATACCAGTATAGTGTCAGGTCTATGTCACCAGTAGTGTCAGGTCTATGTTACCAGTATAATGTCAGGTCTATTGTCACCAGTATAGTGTCAGGTCTATGGCACCTGTATAGTGCCAGGTTTATGTCACCAGTATAGTGTCAGGTCTATGGCACCTGTATAGTGCCAGGTCTATGCCACCAGTATAGTGTCAGGTCTATGTCACATGTATAGTGTCAGGTCTATTGTCATCAGTATAGTGTCAGGCCTATGTCACCAGTATAGTGTCAGGTCTATATCACCAGTATAATATCAGGTCTATGTCACCAGTATAGTGTCAGGTCAATGTCACCAGTATAGTGTCAGGGCTATGTCACCAGTATTATTTCCGGTCTATGTCACCAGTATAGTGTCAGGTCTATGGCACCTGTATAGTGTCAGGTCTATGGCACCTTTATAGTGTCAGGTCTATGTCACCAGTATAGTGTCAGGTCTATTGTCACCAGTATAGTGTCAGGCCTATGTCACCAGTATAGTGTCAGGTCTATGTCACCAGTATAGTTTCAGGTCTATGTCACATGTATAGTGTCAGGTCTATGTCACCAGTATAGTGTCAGGTCTATGGCACATGTTTAGTGCCAGGTTTATGCCACCAGTATAGTGTCAGGTTTATGTCACCAGTATAGTGTCAGGACAATGCCATCAGTATAGTGCAAGGTCTATGCCACCAGTAAAGTGTCAGGTCTATGTCACCAGTATAATGTCAGGTCTATGTCACCAGTATAGTGTCAGGTCTGTGTCACCAGTATAGTGTCAGGTCTATGTCACCAGTATAATGTCAGGCCTATGTCACCAGTAAAGTATCAGGCCTATGTTACCAGTATAATGTCAGGTCTATGTCACCAGTATAGTGTCAGGTCTATGTTACAAGTATAATGCCAGGTCTATGTCACCAGTATAGTGTCAGGTCTATGGCACCTGTATAGTGCCAGGTTTATGTCACCAGTATAGTGTCAGGTCTATGTCATCAGTATAGTGTCAGGCCTATGTCACCAGTATAGTGTGAGGCCTATGTCACCAGTATAGTGTCAGGTCTATGTTACCAGTATAATGTCAGATCTATGTCACAAGTATAGTGTCAGGTCTATGTCACCAGTATAGTGCCAGGTTTATGTCACCAGTATAGTGTCAGGCCTATGTCACCAGTATAGTGTCAGGCCTAGGTCACCAGTATAGTGTCACTGGTCTATGTCACCAGTATAGTGTCAGGTCTATGTTACCTGTATAATGTCAGGTCTATGTCACCAGTATAGTGTCAGGTCTATGTCACCAGTATAGTGTCAGGTCTATGATACCAGTATAGTGTCAGGTCTATGTCACCAGTATAGTGTCAGGTCTATGATACCAGTATAGTCAGGTCTATGATACCAGTATAGTGTCAGGTCTATGTCACCAGTATAGTGTCAGGTCTATGATACCAGTATAGTCAGGTCTATGATACCAGTATAGTGTCAGGTCTATGTCACCAGTATAGTGTTAGGCCTATGTCACCAGTATAATGTCAGGTCTATGTCACCAGTATACTGTATTTCAACAGAACAATGATTTAAATGTTAGCTGTCAACTTGTGCATTGGTGCCTTTTGATCAAACTCTTTATGTGGGACTGCTTAATATTAGTTATTTGATGTTTAAAATTCTAGTTATTACAAATACAAATTATGGAAATTCCATTGCAGAAACATATAGCATGGCAAAGATTGAAAAGCTTGCACTTATTATAAATTAAAAACAAGAATATGTTGCAGGTGTGTTAAAAAGAACAATTAAAGATACATCAATGTATATATACTTGATAATGATACAGTCTAAATTGTTTCGTGTTTAATGTCTTAATTACAAAAGAAATAATGAATTACCTAATTTGCACAACATTATCTAGCAAGTCTTCAATTTCAATTTCAAAGAGAAATAACAAAAGGTTTGTTTCAGTAATGTGTAAAACAATATACATTCATCAATAAGTTGGTAACACTGTAAAGTGATATGTTTCTCTGGATCTATATCATTTATCTTTGTTAGGGATGTAAAACGAAGATGATCTAACTATATCTCAATTATTTAACAGATTGCCTGCTTGAATTTTAGTAAATTAATTAACTTTGACCATGCTTTGAACTTTGGAACATACTGCTAACTTTTTTATTAGCTCACCTGTCACAAAGTGACAGGGTGAGCTTTTGTGATCGCTTTTCGTCAGGCGTCCATCCGTAAACTTTTACTTTAAATGACATCTCCTCATAAACCACTAAGCCAATTTCATCCAAACTTCACAGGAATGTTCCTTTGGTGGTCACCTTTAAAAATTGTTCAAAGAATTTAATTCCATGCAGAACTCTGGTTGCCATGGCAACCGAAAGAAAAAACTTTAAATATCTTCTTTTAAAAAACCCTAAGAGCTAGAGCTTAGATATTTGGCATGAAACATCTTCTAGTGAGTGTCTACCAAGTTTGTTCAAATAAAAGCCCTGGGGTCAAATATGGCCCCGCCCCAGGGGGTCATTGATTTTCCCTATATGCATATAGTAAAAACTT